CACCATCCTCATAAATTGGTAATTAGAGTTGAAGATAAAAAATAATAAAAGTAGGGTATGAAGATCCATTTAATTACTTAGGCAAAATATAACTATTGTGCTTTCAAGGTTGGGTTTTTTGAGAGATTAAGGGTGTTGAAGTTGAATATTTTTAAGTATTTTAAATTTTTAATGATATCAATTTTTTCATTATTTAAAAATATAAAAAAATAATACATATTAATCCCAACTTTATTAATCCCCGACCGCAGGCCTTGCATGCCAAAAAAATACAATGGGTTGTATACAACTATATACATAATTGGCTCAAATGCCGTTGGGTTTAATTAGGCTTGGTTTAGGGGCAAAAACCTACTTTGAGCCCCTCACCTAATCAAATTTGAAGGTTTTAGTCTATTACTTTATATTATGACACTTTTAGCCCCTCATCTTACTAGATTTGTAAGTTTTAGTCCCTCACTTATTAAAATCGAAGAAAATAGCACTCACTTACTGACTATTAACTCTGTTAGATGAAAGTAGATTTTTATCAACTAACATTCAACTAATAAACAATTAACAGAATTAACGAAATATTATAAAATTAGTTCTGTTAACTCTGTTAGCTGATAAAAAGCTGAAAGAAGGTTTTTATCAGCTAACAGTCAACTAATAGAGTTAGTAATCAGTTAATAGAATTAACAAAATGTTACAAAATAAGGACTATTTTCTTTAATTTTAATAGGTGAGGGATTAAAAATGTCATAATATAAGGTAAGGAGTTCAAATCTATAAATTTCATAAGATTTCATGTTAAAAATGTCATAATATAAGGTAAAGAGTTAAAAATCTATAAATTTAATAAGATTAGAGGTTAAAACTATCATAGTATAAGGTGAGGGGCTTAAAACAGGTTTTGACAGTCAATTTAGTTTGCTTGGTTTGGGAATGATACACCATGGTTATAGCAGCATGGGTTTTTAAAATTTTTAATGTTAAAAAATATAAAAATTAATATTAATTTCATCATTAGTATTATATAGATAATTTTAATTAAATAAATTAAATATTTTTAAATTACAAATATTAACAATATTAATATTAATTATTTTAAAAAATTTAACTCAAACAATTTAATAATTTACTTCATTAAAATTAAAAACAAATAACTATTCACATAAAAACTAAACAAACACCCATTAAAAGACAAAATAGTGCCTTACTTGGACTGTTGGACCTTAGCCATGGGGCTGAACAGGAAGGTGATGGGCAGGATGAATGGTTTTGAGCCGAATAGGCAGCTGTTGCAGCCCAAAACAATTGAGATGAACTTGAACTTGGAATTGGACTTGGTCTTGCAAAATGGAGGAATGCCATATACAATTTCATGCCAAGAGAAAAAAAAAAAT